AACTTGGGAAGAAGATCATTTACCCCATTAAGAAGAGTTTCTGGAGCACATTTCATTATAGTATACATATTTCAAATGCTGAAGAAGGATTGAAATATGGGTGAGGTGTAAGTACTCAAATTTCACAATAGGAGAAACCAAAATTATAGAATTATTTCTGAGAAAAAGAAGTGATATTGGAGATGAAAAGTGGGAGATCCTAAGTTCTGAAATTGGAAGAACTAGTTTTGGATCAAGTTTCTATTACTCATTAGCTGTCTACTTTGGGCAATTTTCTTAATTCCTCCAATCTTTGAGTTTGTCCTTTCGGAATTAACTCTGTCTTAACTCCACAGTAAATTTATCTTCTGGACAGCTGATGTTGATGACCACATCTAAGTACTTGGAAATCATTAGGCCTATATTATTGGAGAAAAAAAAAAAAAAGGTTGGTTATCAGACATATATAGATAGGGGCACCAGAGAATGTGTTAAGCAGAATATCATATTTGTAATCTTAAGAAGCATGACACTCTATGCTAAAATCTGGATTTTCATTATAAACAATCATTGTTGCTATTGACATAGCATATATGAATAAAAAAATACAGAATAGAAGCATAAGTCTAGGATTCTGGAGGACTGGCTCTTACAACTATTAACTCTATGACTAAATAGAAAGCACTTAATCTTTCTGTATTTGTTGTCCCATCCGCTAAGTAGCAATAATACTGCATATTTCACAAGTTTGTTATAATCGCTTAACAAGCCTTCATAGAATATTGAAATTGTCTTCCTACTCTAGAAAAGCAAGGTATTACAGCGCTAAGTATTCGTGTTGTACAACAAGAAATGTCCTCATTGCTTCTGTTTTCTGTTTCAACCTTCCTACATTTGACATCACCTTAAAACCCTTTACGCATACCATCTTAATGTTTTTTTCTCTTTACTACACCTGTGATTTTTATTTGTTCTTAAATATAGCCATGCTGTTGTATTTGCTAAGAGACCAGAGGATTATTATGCAAGAGAGCTTCTGGTAGGTGAGTTTCAGGGTATAACTATTTCCACTGGCTACAATTCAAGATAATAAGGAAGTTTGTGAAGTTAATACCCTAGCTTGGGTTAGCAACCAATCACCACTGAAAACGTCGATTTTTAACGGTGGGACGCTGCCTTATGCATGTGTGTATATATATACGTGTACGTATGTATTTGGCAGACTGCTTTCTCTCTCTTTCTCTGGACTTCCTGTCTCAGAGCAGCATATCTCTGCCACCCTCACTCATCATCATGATGAAGAGCATCACTGCTTTTGCCATCATCACTCTGGCAGCCACCACGTGGGCTGCCTCTCCTCCTGGTGAGTTAGGACTCCTTTTAGTATCCATACCCATGTGTTAGCTGCAATTTGTTCAACCTCCAGTCAATATAGGATGTTAAAGTCAGAAGAAAATTTAGAAGTTAACTATCTGGATTGTTCTGATTAACAAAGAGGGGGTGGGGGTCAGACCTTCCAGAAGAGGAAGAGAGACTGAGAAGAAGAATAAAAAGATTGCCATGCGAATAAAAGGTACAGCATAGGGAATATAGGCAATGGTACTCTAATAGGGTTGTAAGGTGACAGATGGTAGCTACATTTGTGGTGAGCCCAGCATAGTTTATAGACTTGTCAAATCACTGTGTTGTACACCTGAAATTAATGTAACATTGTGTATCAACCATACTTCAATTAAAAAAAAAAAGAATAAAAGGACTATGGGCAGCCTGCTCAGTTGCTGATCGATGTCAGGCTTCTGAATTGCCCTTTCAGAAACAACTTACACAACTTTGAGACCGTAACCAACCCCTACCCTTGACATGCTCACAGGAATTCCTAGATACCTATGACAGCCTTTTCTCCAATGACCACAAATTTCCCCCATGTTTATTTATTTATTAAGTCAGAATTGCATACATTTCTGGCTTCGTCCTGAACTGGCCGTAAGTAAAGAAGTGACCTCTTAGGTCTGATGGGGGCAAGGGATGTTAGAAATGGGTTTTAGTTACTGTAGACCGTGAATTCAACCTTGCATTTCTAACTGTGGAATCTGCTCTTTCTCCACTTCCTTCTGTTCAAATGCGTCTCATGCCACACTCTTCTGGGGATCATAGAGGTGAGTATAGCCCCTTTCTGTGGGGTCTTTGTAAAAATAAAATCAGAGCTAATTCGTAAATGGGGCTGTGAAAGTAGGTAACCTGGATCACTGTGGATGGAACTAATTCCTAGGGAGGTAAAACCAGACCTAACTCCACTTCTCCTGGTGGTGTTTTTTTTTTTCTTTGAAGGCTGCAAAAGGAATCTCTTTGCAAACGGGGAACAGCAGATTAAGGAAACTTTTACCTTAGGTAGCTTTAAAAAATTTTTTTTAATATTTATTTATTTATTTGAGAGAGAGAGAGAGACAGCATGAGTGAGGGAGGGGCAGAGAGAGGGAGACACAAAACCTGAAGGAGGCTTCAGGCTCTGAGCTGTCAGCACAGAGCCTTATGTGGGGCGTGGACCCATGAACTGTGAGATCATGATGTCAGCTGAAGTCAGACACCTAACTGACTGAGCCATCCAGGTGACCCTTTAAGTAGCTTTTTAAACTTTCACATTCATTATTACATTGCACTCTCATCATAACTCTAAAAGGAGAGATTAACATTTCCTTCTTTACCTGTTAATTATCATTTTATTTACAGATTATTTCAGGTCTGACCTAGTTGTGTAGCACAGCGCCTGGACCATACAAGGTCTTCTAGACATATTTGCTAGAAAGTTGAACAGGCTATGGTACTCTTTTCACTCTCTTCTCTTTCTTCCCAGCTTGATAGAAGAATGGTTATAGAATTGAAGGAAAACAATGTAGGCCATTATTTTTTATTCTAATTATAGGTGAACTGCTCCCAATACAACAGAAAAGGCTCTGGGATTACATGCTCAAAGGAGCTGAAACCAATATGTGGCATAGATCATAAAACTTACAGTAATGAATGCATGTTTTGCCTACTGAACCAGTAAGTATAATACTCAATTTGGAGCCCCTCTTTTTTTAAAGATTACAAAGTCCACATTGGCTAAAATCTGCTTGGTTTCTAACAACATGGTTTGATAAATCCTACCTTTTGTCACACTCCTCCAATACCCTTTGGACATTGCTTTGTTAAAATAAAAATACATAAGTAAATAGGTAAACAAATAAATATCTCTAAGGATATATATATTTCTTTGCTATCCAGCCAAATTCTCATTCACATATCACACTGTCCTTCAGGCATTAGCTGTTACATAGAGACATTTTTATTTTCACATTACATTTGAGAAAACTGAGTCTCAGGCAGAAAATGTATCTTGGTTAAAGTTCCATAATCTTCTGTATTTGTATAATGAGAGCTCAGAAGACAACTCTCTCTATTTAGGCTGTTTGCCATGGGTACTATTATAAGAATTTGATCTATCTTTTATAACCCAGAGAAAATCCATGTTCCTTCTTAGAATTATCTGGAAAAGTCTAAGGAAGAGATTAAAAATACAAATGGATAGTTGGAATCCCCACCAGCAGACCCACAAATTACACAAGAAGTCCTCACTATAAACAACATCTCAGCCTCTAAGCAAATGAAAGAAACATTATTACCAGCCATTCCATGAATTTGAATTCACCACTTTATGGCTACTGGTTAAAATCATGGGCTTTGGTGTCACACATCTGGATTAGAATCCAGATTGCACTTAGTAAATATGTGACATCAGACAAATACCCAACCCACTACGTACTTCACTATCCTCATTTGTAAGATATAAGTTATTTTTTAAAGCTTATTTATTTATTTATTTATTTATTTATTTATTTATTTAAAGCACCAGTGAGGGAGGGGCATTGGGAGAGGGAGAGAGAGAATCCCAAGAAGGCTTTGCCCTGTCAGAGCAGAGCCCGATCCAGGGCTCCATCCCACAAACCATGAGTTCATGACCTGAGCCAAAATCAAGAGTCAGACACTTAACCAACTGAGCCACCCAAGAGCCCCTGTAAGATAGAAATTATAATGGTGTTTAGGGTTCACTGTGATAAAACATATCAAACCTTAGCTCTGCAACTAATACAGAAATGAACTCTTCTTCCTTCTTATCATCTTCCCCTTCTTTTCTAACCCTTCTTAAAATTTATTTTTTTTTTAATTTTTTTTTCAACGTTTATTTATTTTTGGGACAGAGAGAGACAGAGCATGAACAGGGGAGGGGCAGAGAGAGGGAGACACAGAATTGGAACCAGGCTCCAGGCTCCGAGCCATCAGCCCAGAGCCTGACGCGGGGCTCGAACTCACGGACCGCGAGATCGTGACCTGACTGAAGCCGGACGCTTAACCGACTGCGCCACCCAGGCGCCCCTAACCCTTCTTAAAATTTATAGTCAAGTATAATAACAAGTGTTATTCAGAATAAAGTCTCTCAGGATATGCAAACTCCTGTGCTGAAAAAAAAAAAAAAAAAAAAAAACACAAGAGATTAAAGACTGATGAGATCTTATTGATGATAGCATCACCTAACCTCTTTTTAGGAAACAGGAATCTAATACAAAGAGGAAGTGACTATAACAAAATTACACAGAATGTGAGTGCCAGAGATGGATTTGAACATATTTTCTTTTTCTTAACTGCAAAAAAATGTTTTCACACTATATTACACCTTTGATTTTCATGTGGATATTCATGGACTATTTTTTAAATGCCCAATCTCCTCTTAGTGCTGATTGTATTTTCTCATACTTTTATTTGTTTACAAAATGATCACCCATCAAAGATGTTAATGGTAGAATGGTAGAATTTAACCAGAATTTAACCAGAACTGTAGAATTTAACCAGAACTCGTCATTCTCAGTACAGGTTAGACAACATAGAATAACATATGTCTGTATTTTACTCTATAGATTGTGAAATATCAAGTAATGCCTTACCCATTCAATAAAATCTTTTCTTTCAGAAATAACCAATTTCAACTCAGAAAACTTTATGATAATAAATGTGTAAGTATACACAGAAATTTCATTTATGCTCAATATAAAATGTTATAATTCTCACTTTATGAAAATTTTAAAATAGGTATTCTAGAAACTGTCTATGACTATGTATAGACCAGAAAACTCAAGAACACATGTAAAGACAATTCAGGGCTAAAGAGCTATGTGAATGGGTTAAAATATTAAAATAATTTTAATAGAGTTTGAAACATGACAAGAGAATTATACACATGGGATTGTGGTAGTAAATATTTTAAGGAGGGGCATCTACACCAATTTGATGGGTGAGGGAGAGAAATATCATGAAACTGTTAAAAAAGTAGTTAAACTGACTTTTAAGGACTAAGAGTCTTAGGAGTCAGTCTGATGGAGAAAGGGGTAAGGTGATGCAACATAGGAAAAACACCTTAAGCAAGGGCACAGGGATGTATAGGAGCAGGAAACACTCCGGGAATTCAGTTGTTAAGTTTAGCTAGAGTAAGAGGCAGAGGATAAGAGAGATAAGCCAGGCTCATGAGGGGACTTTCTGTTGACGGGGAATCAGTTAAGTAATCAAAAAACAAAAACCGATTTTGTTTTTTGAAAGATCACTCTGGCGTCAGTGTGGAGGGTGATTGAAATCTCAGATGAAGGTAGGTTTAGGGCAACAAACTGGCAGGCAACTGTGACTATGCAGGCAAGACCATGAGGACCTGGATAAAATGGATGACAGCATGGTAAGGAGAAGACTGGTTCAAAAACTAAGTACAAGATAGAAGATGTATTCTATTCATCAGTTCCCTGAGGAGAATGAGGAAGAGGGAAGCCGTAACCTCAGGCTAAGCCATCTCTTTCTGTGATGAGAGTGCCACCATTTGGGGTCAGATTTTGTAAAGTGAAGAGGGTTTGTCTTTTTATGAGTGAGATTTGTAACTAAATGACCTCTCAAGACCTTTAAAAAGCTCATTTTCTGTGATTTAACAATTCGAAATTGTTCTTTCCTTTTTTTTTTCTTTTTTTGGACTGGAGCAAATTGAGTGCACCAATTATTCTGCCATCTGTACTGTGGAATATTTCCCTCTCTGCGGATCTGATGGAAAAGTATATTCTAACAAATGCTCATTTTGCAATGAAGTTGTGTAAGTGCTGAATTTAACATATTATTTGCAGTAATGGCCTCTCCTGCCGAGCTTGAAACCATCTTAGCTACCTGATAAGCTTGCTGCTCCTATGAAGTGTATGAGTGTATACACTGCTATGAAGTGTATCAGTATAGCTTGCTGATAATTATAATATTTTAGAAAAAGAAGCAAAAATAAAGAGAAAGAGGCAAGAGAAAGAATGATAGTGGATAGTAGGAAGAAAATGAAGCTCAAAAAGGAGACTTTATCAACATCATAGTATTACTGAATGGCAAATAGCAAGAGATATTTAAAGACTTTTTTGGCTCCTAACACTGGCTTTCACTAGCACACTGAATTCCTTTTTCCCCCTTGCTGGATCTCAGTTACTAATTGCTCACCTTTCATGCTCTGTGCTCATTTGGCTGGCTTGATTTTAGAATATAAAAGTTTCAATTTAAGATCTCCATAGCCTTCCCTTAAAAAAAAAAAAATGATTTCTCTTGTAGGAAGAGACGTGGTACACTTTTTTTGGCAAAGTATGGACAGTGCTGAGTCTCCCTGATGCTCAAGGGCACCAAGTTCCCTTTGGCAGATTCCACATAGAGAACCAATCCCTCTCAGATGGCTGTGGGGCAAATATATGGATTTGATTCTTCAATAAAAGATTTTTAGCAGAAAGCTTTCAGGCATGTCTTTGGATGCAACTGTAGTCTCTTAAGGAAAATGTCTGTGGTCATTTCTCTCAATAAGTGACAAGGAAAGATTTCTTCTATTTCTACTCAAGTTGGGAGCTGGAGAGATTATATACACACTAATGGGAGAGGAATCTGTTCATAGCATCCCATTTTACAAAAACTCACAATTTTTAAGTAAACATGGGTCAAGGGGCAGATCTGACCATTAGTCTTAACACTAGTACCTTTAGCAACACTAATGAAAAGTGGAAAGTTCAGCTTTGGAGGAAGATAGAGTAAGAATCCATAATACTATCAACTAATCAGACCAGGAATAACATTAGATGTTAGATACCATTATTTAAAGAGGACTCAGTCACAGGTGGGAATCCACAAAGGAAGGCATTTTGTTGGTCATGTTGGGAAGAGACTAAAAATAATAGAATTTGATTAAACTGTTGTTGAAGTCTTTAAAAGGCCCAAGGAAAGTTCAAGGTAACTAGGAAAGATGAGGACATATGCAGGACTATCACAAGAGAGATCAGAACGTTCTCATTTCTGGGGCTCCATAGAAAGGAGTCATGTCATTAACATAATATGCAAAGACAGATATTTTGCTTACATAAAGAGAAGAATTTTCTAACAGTACATCTGCAAATAGGAACAAAGTTATGCCTTATAAGTTCATCAGTCCAATACAATTTGTTTTTGTAGTAAAGTCTGGTTAAATGCTTGCCAGCTATTTTGTGGAGATTTGTGTGTGTTTTTTAACAACACATATAGAAAGATCACTATGGGTCAAGCAGTGTGTTGTGTAGGGAGAGGCAATACAAATGGGCAAAGATTTCATGTCAGTAAGGAGTTTGTAGACTAGTCAGAGACAATCTTTTGAAGAGTTGATTACTATGCAATGAAAAAAGACTATAATCAAGAATCATTAAAGGTTCAGTAAAAACTGAAAGGAAGACCTGACCCTTATGACCTCATTTAACATTAATTACCTCCTAAAACCCTATCTCCAAATACAGTCACACTGATGGTTAATGTTTTCACATTTGAATTTGGAGGGGACACAATTTCATTCATAGCAGCTAGGTTGCCAGAACTTTATTTTCATTTTTCATATGTGAAAATAAAATGCATGACAGCATAAACACAGAGAGAAGAAATGAAAGTATTCTATTATAAGATTCTGTGTTAAGTTAAATGATATAATACCACTTAAAGGTACACTGTGAAAAGTTAAGAATGTATATTATAAATCCTAAAGCAACACTAAATATGCCAACAATGAAGATAAAATGGAATAATGAAAAAAAATACTATATTTGTGCAAGAGAGACAAAGAAAAGAGGTAAAGAGGAAAAACAGATTGGACTAATAGAAAGCAAGTAGCAGGATGGCAGACTCAAGGTAATTGTGTTAGTTAGGGATTCTTCAGAAAAACAAAACCAACTCTGTGTGTGTGTGTGTGTGTGTGTGTGTGTGTGTGTGTGTGTGGAGAGAGAGAGAGAGAGAGACAGACAGACAGGGAGACAGAGACAGAGAAAGAGACAGAGACAAGAGAGAAAGAAAAAGATTTATTTTAAGTAATTGGTCCAAGTGATTATAGAAAGTGTGAAATTTGCACAGTAGGTCAGCAGACTGGTGACCCAGGGGAAGTATTGATGTTGCAGCTCAATTCTAAAGGAAGTCGAGAGGCAGAATGCTCCTTCCCTAAGAGATCTCAGGCTTTTTCTCTTAAGGCCTTCAAGTGATCACAGGAGGCCCACCCACATTACAGAATATACTATGCTTCACTCAGAGTCTACAGGTTTAGACACCTCACCAAAGAGGAAATCCCAAAGGTTAAAATATCTCTCTTTGGGGAGGCATATATAGGTAGTAAAACTATTAAAAATGCAAGTGAGTGATTAACACAGAAGTCAGAATAGAGTCTGTGAGAGGGGGCTGTAGTTAGGCAGTGCCTCAGTCTGTTTGGGCTCCTATAGCAAAAGTACCATAAACTGGGAGGCTTAAACAGCAAACGTTTATTTCTCACAGTTCTGGAGTCTGGCAAGTCTAAGACCAAGATGCAAGGGAGCTCTCTGGGCTCTGCCTTCATGACCTAATCACCTCCTAAAAATCCTACCTCTTAATACCATCACATTGGGGATTAGGCTTCAACATATAAATTTACTGGGGACACAAATATTCGGTGTATAGCTGGCAATAACATGTGGGAGGCTTTTAGGATGACGGCCGTTCTAGCTCATCACTAGAATGATGGGTACATAGATGCTGACCTTATAATAATAATTTAACTACAGACAACAATAATAACAATGAGATCTGATTTAAATATTGATCATAGCAGAAAAAATACCTTCACAGTGATATCTCAACTGGTGTCTGACCAAATATCTGGGCACTGTGGCCTAGCCAAGTTGACATATAAAATTAACTGTTACAATAAGTATATCAATTATCATATTAAATATGAATGGTCTAAACACTAATTAAAGGAAGAGATTGCAGACTGGATTTTTAAAAAAGTAAGTGTGTTTATAAGAAATACACTTTAAAAATAAAAGCACAAATAGGAGAAAAATAAAAGGATTACCATGTTAACATTAGTCAAAAGAAAGCTGGAGTAGCATTATTGATATAAACACAATAGATTTTAGAGGAAAGGCTTATTCAAAGGATGAGAGTTATATTTTATAATGATAAAATTCTCAATTAATTAAGAAGATACAAAAATCTTACATGTTAATGAAACTCAAGATTTTCAAATCAAAAATGAATATAAGTGCACGGAAAAATAAACAAATCCATGATTATGATCAGAGATTTCAATATCCATCTCTCAAAAATTAATAAAACAAGTAAGTAGAATATCAACAATTGTGCAGCAGAATTGAGTAATACAATCAACCATGTGGCCTGATTGACAACCACATGACCTGAGAACACTGCCCCCAACAAGAGCAGTGTGAACCTTCTTCTCAAGTAAACAAGAAATACTTACGAAGACCACTTTCTTGTCTGTAAAACAAATTTCAATATATTTAAAAGGATTCAAGTCAGAATGGTATTTGTCCTCTGACCACATCTGAATTGAATAAGAAAACAAAAAAATAAAAAAAGTCTCTGGAAAATCCCCAATATTTGGAAAATAAACATCACACCAATAAATAAGCCCTGAGTCAAAGAAGAAATCAAATGAGAAACTAAAAGCATTTTGAAATAAATGAAAAGAAAACAGAATAATATTATTTGTGAAATTCTCCCTAAGGCAGTAGTTAGGGTAAAATTTATATTACTAAATATGTAATATTTAGTAATATAAATATTATATGTAATATGTACTAAATATATTACTTAATATGTATATTAAGGATATAAATATTATATGTAATATGTACTAAATATATTACTTAATATGTATATTAAGGAAAAAATTACCAAGATGGAACTTATCCTGTGCCTTAAAACAAGTATGAGTATATTTATCTAGCATTACTAGCGCTAGTAACACTTGATTTGAAAACCTATTTTCATGACACATTTTGAATTACGATTGCCCATCTGCTGTTTTCTTATTAGGCCAACTGCGTTAGACTTTACACTTAGACTTTTCATAACATCAGTGTGTCATTTGAAACACTCACCACAACACTTTGCTTTTTTCAAATGTTGGTATAAGTTAGATTGATTCTTGGGGGTAGTACGGTATGTTGCAACTAGCCCAAGTTTTCATTCAGTTCTTCAATAAACATAAGCTTAGGTGCCTCTGATTTTCCAGTTAACTCTGAAGAGGAAGAGAGAAGGGTTCAAAGTAGGGACATAAGAAATGCTTGTTGAATTACTATTCCAATAAGAACAAAGCACTATATTAGGCTTTTGGCAGAAAACATGAAAAAAAAAAACCCAAAAAACTTGTTTTCTCCTTGCAAGAGGTACACAGCTTGCAAATAGCAAATTTTTGTTTCCTTACTTGTAGGTGTATCGTAGAGGCTTTGAAACTTTATTGAATGTGACCCACAGTGAACAAAATATGTTATCTCACCACCTAGAAACACACACACACACTATTGAAGTTGCATTGTCATTTTTATTTTATTCTATTCTATTTACTCTGTTTTACTATATTTTATTTAAAAAATAGTGATGGTAACAAAATAAGTTTCACAGCCCACAAAAGGGTCACAATACGTAATTTGAAAACTTCTGTACCGTACCATCTGAGAATTAACACTTAATTTTGTCAAACATAAATCTGCGTCTGTGTATGTGTGTCTGTGTATGTGTTAGGTACAACACTGAAAAGGAAGAGGGATATCTTCAACTCACACTGATCAGAACATTGCAAAGGAGAGTTGACCCTAAGGGCCCACGCTTAACCTGGGCCTTCACAATTTCAATTGTCAGAGCCTCTCTTCCAAATATTCCATAAGATATTGTGGGCAGGATTTGCTGCCTCAAAGAGAAATGGAGAAAAGCAAATCAGTCTTTGAAAAGCCTGAGGGAAGAGGAATCAGATGAGACACTGGGGGAGCTCACCATCAGGGCCTTGCCTTCAGGACTTCTTAGTTATTTTCCTCGTTGTCTCGGAGGAATCTCATCTCTATGTTCTAGCATTTTAGCTTTCCCCCTTCTCGGTAATTCCCTTTAAAGATTTTCCTTTCTCCAACCTGTTAGTAAAGAAATTCACGTCCATCTGTACAGCCAGGGGAGGGATTTTAGGGACAACAAAGGATTAGGGCAAATAAAAGGGAAGCGTGGCCTGACTCAATTCCACCTGTTGGTTGGTCCTAGAGGACAGGCAGTAGCTGCTAGAAGCTGCCAACAGGGACCAGCAGGCCAGTTAGTGGGTAGCTCAGGGCAGACTTCTGAATGCCAGAGAAGAGTAAATAAATGGGCAATTAAGGAAAGAAGTAAGGTTAACAGGAAGTGAGTGCTTCCGTTTTACACTAGAGTATTTGCATGTCTTCAAGGTATGGAGATTGACACTTGAACTAC